CCCCTCAGAGTTTAGTCTTGGGTCTCTAGTTTCCTCTGTAGTGAGGATATCATCCAGAAATCTAAGGTCTGTGCACTCAGAGTTCAGTCTCAGGTTTGCCATTCATTGAGATCATCTGGGGCCCCTGGCCCCTCACCGTTCAGTTTCAGGTCTGTCTGTATATAGAGGAGATCTTTTGAGGTCTGCGGACCCCTCAGACTTCAGTCACAGCTTTGCTGTACATTGAGAATATCTGAGGTCTGTGGCCCATCAGAGTTCAGACTCTTGGTCTGCTCTTTAGTGAGGAGATCATCCAAAGTCTGTGGCCCCTCGTAGTTCAGTCTCAGGTCTTCTCTGTAGTGAGGAGATCATCGGAGGTCTGTGGCCCCTCGCAGTTCAGTCTCAGGTCTTCCCTGTAGAGAGATCATCTGAGGTCTGTGGCCCGTCAGGGTTCAGTCTCAGTTCTCTGCTCTGTAGTGAGGTGATCATCTGAGATCTGTGGCCCCTCAGAGTTCAGTCCCAGGTCTTTCCTGTAGTGAGGAGGTCATCTGAGGGCTGTGGTCCCTTAGAGTTCAGTCTCGGGTCTGCTCTGTAGTGAGGAGATCATCTGAGATCTGTGGCCCCTCAAACGTTCAGTCCTAGGTCTTTCCTGTAGTGAGGAGATCATCTGAGGTCTGTGGCCTCTCAGGGTTCAGTCTCAGGTCTTTCCTGTAGTGAGGAGATCATCTGAGGTCTGTGGCCTCTCAGGGTTCAGTCTCAGGTCTTTCCTGTAGTGAGGAGGTCATCTGAGGTCTGTGGCCCCTCAGGGTTCTGAGGTCTGTGGCCCCTCAGGGGTCATCTGAGGTCTCCCCTCAGGTCAGTCTTTTTGTAGAGAGGAGATCATCTAAGGTATGTGGCCCCTCAGGGTTCAGTCTCAGGTCTTTCCTGTAGTGAGGAGGTCATCTGAGGTCTGTGGCCCCTCCGGGTTCAGTCTCAGGTCTTTCTTGTAGAGAGGAGGTCATCTGAGTTCTGTGGCCCTTCAGGGTTCAGTCTCACGTCTTCCCTTTAGAGAGGTCATCTGAGGTCTGTGGCCCATCAGGGTCCAGTGTCAGGTCTTTCCTGTAGTGAAGAGATCATCTGAGGTCTGTGGCCCCTCAGGGTTCAGTCTCACATCTTTCCTGTAGTGAGGAGACCATCTGAGATCTGTGGCCCCTCAGGGTTCAGTCTAAGGTCTTTCCTGTAGAGAGGTCATCTGAGGTCTGTGGCCCCTCAGAGTTCAATTTCAAATCTCTTCCTGTAGAAAGGAGGTCATCTGAGATCTGTGGCCCCTCAGGTTCAGTCTCGGGTCTTGTAGATAGGAGATCATCTGAAGTCTGTGGCCCCTCAGAGTTCAATCTCACGTCTTCCCTGTAGAGAGGAGATCATCCTGAGGTCTGTGGCCCCTCAGGGTTCAATCTCACGTCTTCCCTGTAGAGAGGAGATCATCTGAGGTCTGTGGCCCCTCAGGGTTCAATCTCATGTCTTCCCTGTAGAGAGGAGATCATCTGAAGTCTGTGGCCCCTCAGAGTTCAGTCTCAGGTTTTTCCTGTAGAGAGGAGGTCATCTGAGGTCTGTGGCCCCTCAGGGTTCAATCTCACGTTTTCCCTGTAGAGAGGTCATCTGAGGTCTGTGGCCCCTCAGGTTCAGTCTCGGGTCTTGTAGATAGGAGATCATCTGAGGTCTGTGGCCCCTCAGTGTTCAATCTCACGTCTTCCCTGTAGAGAGGAGATCATCTGAGGTCTGTGGCCCCTCAGTGTTCAATCTCACGTCTTTCCTGTAGAGAGGAGATCATCTGAGGTCTGTGGCCCCTCAGGGTTCAATCTCATGTTTTCCCTGTAGAGAGGTCATCTGAGGTCTGTGGCCCCTCAGGTTCAGTCTTGGGTCTTTCCTGTAGATAGGAGATCATCTGAGGTCTGTGGCCCCTCAGGGTTCAATCTCACGTCTTCCCTGTAGAGAGGTCATCTGAGGTCTGTGGCCCCTCACGGTTCAATCTCACGTCTTCCCTGTAGAGAGGTCATCTGAGGTCTGTGGCCCCTCAGGGGTCAATCTCAGGTCTTCCCTGTAGAGAGGTCATCTGTGGTCTGTGGCCCCTCAGGGTTCAATCTCATGTCTTCCCTGTAGAGAGAGGTCATCTGAGATCTGTGGCCCCTCAGGTTCAGTCTCACGTCTTCCCTGTAGATAGGAGATCACCTGAGGTCTGTGGCCCCTCAGGGTTCAATCTCACGTCTTCCCTGTAGAGAGGTCATCTGAGGTCTGTGGCCCCTCAGGTTCAGTCTCGGGTCTTGAAGATAGGAGATCATCTGAGGTATGTGGCCCCTCAGGTTTCAATCTCACGTCTTCCCTGTAGAGAGGTCATCTGAGGTCTGTGGCCCCTCATGTTCAGTCTCGGGTCTTGTAGATAGGAGATCATCTGAGGTCTGTGGCCCCTCAGGGTTCAATCTCACGTCTTCCCTGTAGAGAGGAGATCATCTGAGGTCTGTGGCCCCTCAGGGTTCAGTCTCGGGTCTTTCCTGTAGAGAGGTCATCTGAGGTCTGTGGCCCCTCAGGGTTCAATCTCACGTCTTCCCTGTAGAGAGGAGGTCATCTGAGGTCTGTGGCCCCTCAGGGTTCAATCTCAGGTCTTCCCTGTAGATAGGAGGTCATCTGAGGTCTGTGGCCCCTCAGGTTCAGTCTCAGGTCTTGTAGATAGGAGATCATCTGAGGTCTGTGGCCCCTCAGGGTTCAATCTCACGTCTTCCATGTAGAGAAGAAGTCATCTGAGGTCTGTGGCCCCTCAGGGTTCAGTCTCAATGGGTCTTTCCTGTAGAGAGAGGTCATCTGAGGTCTGTGGCCCCTCAGGGTTCAATCTCACGTCTTCCCTGTAGAGAGGTCATCTGAGGTCTGTGGCCTCTCAGGGTTCAATCTCACGTCTTCCCTGTAGAGAGGTCATCTGAGGTCTGTGGCCCCTCAGAGTTCAATCTCACGTCTTCCCTGTAGAGAGGAGGTCATCTGAGGTCTGTGGCCCCTCAGGGTTCAATTTCACGTCTTCCCTGTAGAGAGGTGGTCATCTGAGGTCTGTGGCCCCTCAGGGTTCAATTTCACGTCTTCCCTGTAGAGAGGAGGTCATCTGAGGTCTGTGGCCCCTCAGAGTTCAGTCTCAGGTCTTTCCTGTAGATAGGAGATCATCCGAGGTCTGTGGCCCCTCAGAGTTCAGTCTCAGGTCTTTCCTGTAGATAGGAGATCATCTGAGGTCTGTGGCCCCTTAGGGTTGAGTCTCACATCTTCCCTGTAGATAGAAGATCATCTGAGGTCTGTGGCCCCTCAGGGTTTAAATCTCATGTCTTCCCTGTAGAGAGGAGGTCATCTGAGGTCTGTGGCCCCTCAGGTTCAGTCTCGGGTCTTGTAGATAGGAGATCATCTGAGGTCTGTGGCCCCTCAGGTTCAGTCTCGGGTCTTGTAGATAGGAGATCATCTGAGGTCTGTGGCCCCTCAGGGTTCAATCTCACATCTTCCCTGTAGAGAGGAGGTCATCTGAGGTCTGTTGCCCCTCAGGGTTCAATTTCACGTCTTCCCTGTAGAGAGGAGGTCATCTGAGGTCTGTGGCCCCTCAGAGTTCAGTCTCAGGACTTTCTTGTAGATAGATCATCTGAGGTCTGTGGCCCCTCAGGGTTCAATCTCACGTCTTCCCTGTAGAGAGGTCATCTGAGGTCTGTGGCCCCTCAGGTTCAGTCTCGGGTCTTGTAGATAGATCATCTGAGGTCTGTGGCCCCTCAGGTTCAGTCTCGGGTCTTGTAGATAGGAGATCATCTGAGGTCTGTGGCCCCTCAGTTTCAGTCTCAGGTCTTCCCTGTAGAGAAGAGGTCATCTGAGCTCTGTGGCCCCTCAGGGTTCAATCTCACGTCTTCCCTGTAGAGAGGAGGTCATCTGAGGTCTGTGGCCCCTCAGGGTTCAATCTCACGTCTTCCCTGTAGAGAGGTCATGTGAGGTCTGTGGCCCCTCAGGGTCAATCTCACGTCTTCCCTGTAGAGAGGAGGTCATCTGAGGTCTGTGGCCCCTCAGGGTTCAATCTCACGTCTTCCCTGTAGAGAGGTCATCTGAGGTCTGTGGCCCCTCAGGTTCAATCTCACGTCTTCCCTGTAGAGAGGAGGTCATCTGAGGTCTGTGGCCCCTCAGAGTTCAATCTCACGTCTTCCCTGTAGAGAGGGTAACACGGGGCCCTCAGAGCCTTTTTCCGGAACACTCCGGAGGTGAGGTCGGGACGATGGTCCGGCTGGAAGAGGTTAATTCCTATTGGGTAGCGTTCCCTTTTGTGGCTCTGGCAGTCAGAGATAAATGAGAGCAGATGTCGGAGCCTCATTACGGAGATGAGCAGAGGTAGGAAAGGGCCCCCGCTGGGTGTCCCTCATTTGTACCGAGACTAGAATGAGCCGCTCCATTGTGCTGAATCTGCAGTGTGTGTCACCGTCCTCCGAAACAATGGATCATAGAGGAGCTCCGGAAAGAAATGAGCGAGCTGCCGCTGTCCTTGTGAGGAGGGAGAAGAATGTCTTCATTAGGACGGCACAATCTAGGACACCATCCAGCCCGTCCCACGTCATTAAAGTCGCGGCAAATCCAGAATGGGGGGGGGGCACTCGGGTCACCTCGCCCTCCGCGTATCAAATCATCGAGTCTTAATGAAGTCCTCTCCTCGCCTCCATGTCTTCCTTCGCGGATCTCCTGCAGACTCTTTGCTGCCACTTCCTATCTACAGGCAATACAACCGTTCCCGGGTCCTGAGAAGGAGGAGCCAGTACACCTGTGCAAGACTGAAGGGGAGGAGCCGGTACACCTGTGCACAACTGAAGGGGAGGAGCCGGTACACCTGTGCAAGACTGAAGGGGAGGAACCAGTACACCTGTTGAAGACTGAAGGGGAGGAGCTGGTACAACTGTGCAAGACTGAAGGGGAGGAACCGGTACACCTGTGCAAGACTGAAGGGGAGGAGCCAGTACACCTGTGCAAGGCTGAAGGGGAGGAGCCGGTACACCTGTCCAAGACTGAAGGGGAGGAGCCGGTACACCTGTGTAAGACTGAAGGGGAGGAGCCGGTACACCTGTGTAAGACTGAAGGGGAGGAGCCGATACACCTGTGCAAGACTGAAGGGGAGGAGCCGGTACACCTGTGCAAGACTGAGGGGGAGGAGCCGGTACACCTGTGCAAGACTGAAGGGGAGGAGCCGGTACATCTGTGCAAGACTGAAGGGGAGGAGCCGGACACCTGTGCAAGACTGAAGGGGAGGGGCCGGTACACCTTTGCAAGACTGAAGGGAAGGAGCAGGTACACCTGTGCAAGACTGAAGGGGAGGAGCCGGTACACCTTTGCAAGACTGAAGGGGAGGAGCCAGGACACCTGTGCAAGCAAGACTGAAGGGCAAGAGGAGCCAGTACACCTGTGCAAGACTGAAGGGGAGGAGCCATACACCTGTACAAGACTGAAGGGGAGGAGCCAGTACAGCTGTGCAAGACTGAAGGGGAGGAGCCGGTACACCTGTTTAAGACTGAAGGGGAGGAGTTGGCACACCTGTACAGGACTGAAGGGGAGGAGCCAGTACACCTGTTTAAGACTGAAGGGGAGGAGTCGGCACACCTGTACAGGACTGAAAGGGAGGAGCCAATACACCTGTTTAAGACTGAAGGGGAGGAGTCGGCACACCTGTACAGGACTGAAGGGGAGGAGTCAGCACACCTGGACAGGACTGAAGGGGAGGAGTCAGTACACCTGTTTAAGACTGAAGGGGAGGAGCCGGTACACCTGTTTAAGACTGAAGGGGAGGAGTCGGTACACCTGTCCAAGAGCTGAAGGGGAGGAGCCGGTACACCTGTGCAGGACTGAAGGGGAGGAGTCGGCACACCTGGACAGGACTGGACTGAAGGGGAACGGCCGGAGTTGGGCTTTAAGATCGGCAAGGTGAGGGTAGACCCTGTATCAGGACTAAAGGTGGGAAGGCCGGAGTTGGGCTTTACGATCGGAATTGTGAGGGGTAGACCCGTATCTATGGTGGGAAGGCCGGAGTTGGGCTTTACGATCGGCATTGTGAGGGGTAGACCCGTAATCTATGGTGGGAAGGCCGGAGTTGGGCTTTACGATCGGCATTGTGAGGGGTAGACCCGTATCTATGGTGGGAAGGCCGAGTTGGGCTTTACGATCGGCATTGTGAGGGGTAGACCCGTATCTATGGTGGGAAGGCCGGAGTTGGGCTTTACGATCGGCATTGTGAGGGGTAGACCCGTATCTATGGTGGGAAGGCCGGAGTTGGGCTTTACGATCGGCATTGTGAGGGGTAGACCCGTATCTATGGTGGGAAGGCCGGAGTTGGGCTTTACGATCGGCATTGTGAGGGGTAGACCCGTATCTATGGTGGGAAGGCCGGAGTTGGGCTTTACGATCGGCATTGTGAGGGGTAGACCCGTATCTATGGTGGGAAGGCCGGAGTTGGGCTTTACGATCGGCATTGTGAGGGGTAGACCCGTATCTATGGTGGGAAGGCCGGAGTTGGGCTTTACGATCGGCATTGTGAGGGGTAGACCCGTATCTATGGTGGGAAGGCCGGAGTTGGGCTTTACGATCGGCATTGTGAGGGGTAGACCCGTATCTATGGTGGGAAGGCCGGAGTTGGGCTTTACGATCGGCATTGTGAGAGGTAGACCCGTATCTATGGTGGGAAGGCCGGAGCTGGGCTTTACGATCGGCATTGTGAGGGGTAGACCCGTATCTATGGTGGGAAGGCCGGAGTTGGGCTTTACGATCGGCATTGCGAGGGGTAGACCCGTATCTATGGTGGGAAGGCCGGAGTTGGGCTTTACGATCGGCATTGTGAGGGGTAGACCCGTATCTATGGTGGGAAGGCCGGAGTTGGGCTTTACGATCGGCATTGTGAGGGGTAGACCCGTATCTATGGTGGGAGGCCGGAGTTGGGCTTTACGATCGGCATTGTGAGGGGTAGACCCGTATCTATGGTGGGAAGGCCGGAGTTGGGCTTTACGATCGGCATTGTGAGGGGTAGACCCGTATCTATGGTGGGAAGGCCGGAGGAGACATCTGAACACATGAAGTCTCCATTCTCGGCCTCCTCTGAGCGGGAATCCACAATGAGATCTATTGATTTCCTAATGCCGGCCTGCTGTGGTAATACTGTCATTACTGCTGAAGAGACTTTAATTCCGGTATTTGTCTGGAGGTGGAGGAATGTTTTAATGCTCACTCTGTATGCTTGTTCTCCAGCCTGCTGTGGGGGAGTCTCCCTCCTTACGTGGAAATCACTTGGATTAGAGAAGATTGAGAGTGAAAGTGACAGCAGCGTTCTATTTTCTGATGAATAATTTATCGCTTGTATTGTTTGGAGAAGATGCACACAGCCATCCCGAGGAGAGCCGTTCCTTCTCGCTATCACTCTGAATGATGAGACTACGTCCAGCGTAGTACTAAAACCGCGGCGTTCTCCATCACTGAGGGAAGGACATGTGACATCATTGTACTATTCAATCCCAACAGATACAATGAATGAGGAGGAAGGAACACAACAGGAGAATGTAACAAACACAACAATAAACAGGAGTGAATACATTGTACTTGTATGTATATCACAGAACGTGTACAAAGCCAGCTCCACGTGAAGGAACTCCTGCCAAAAGTGAGCCAGGTCTTCTCCAGCATCAGGATCTGACCTCACAAATTCCCACAGATACCATCCAAATCTTATAGAAAGTCTTCCCAGGAGAGTGGAGCTGGCTTCGTAAAGACATGGAGGACCAGTTTGGTGTGGAGGAACTCTCTGTACAGAGCCCTGACCTCAACTCTACTTTTGAAGCACCTTTGATCAATGGTGAGCCAGGTTTTCGCATCCAACATCAGTACCTGACCTCACAAATGGCCACAAATTCCCGCAGACACCATCAAAAATCTTGTGGAAAGCCTTCCCAGAGGAGTGGAGTCAGCTCCCTAAAGACGTGGTTTGACCAGTTTAGTGTAGAAGAACTCAAGTGTCCTGCACAGAGCCCTGACCTCAACCCTACTTTTGAAGCACCTTTGGTCTTCTCACCAAACATCAGTACCTGCCCTTAATCCTATGGAACACCTTTGGTATGAGGTTTTCTGATCCCAAAGGTGTTCGGTGGGTTTGAGGTCATGGAGGAACCTGAGTGTCCTGCACAGAGCCCTGACCTCAACCCTGCTGAACACCTTTAGAATGGACTGGGATGCTGAGGGTTAGCCGGGTTTTCGCATCCAACATCAGTACCTGACCTCACAAATGGCCACAAATTCGCACAGACACCATCAAAAATCTTGTGGAAAGCCTTCCCAGAGGAGTGGAGTCAGCTCCCTAAAGACGTGGTTTGACCAGTTTAGTGTAGAAGAACTCAAGTGTCCTGCACAGAGCCCTGACCTCAACCCTACTTTTGAAGCACCTTTGGTCTTCTCACCAAACATCAGTACCTGCCCTTAATCCTATGGAACACCTTTGGTATGAGGTTTTCTCATCCCAAAGGTGTTCGGTGGGTTTGAGGTCATGGAGGAACCTGAGTGTCCTGCACAGAGCCCTGACCTCAACCCTGCTGAACACTTTTGAGATGAATTGGAACACCAATGGTGAGCCAGGTCTTCTCATCCAACATTAGTATCTGTCCTCACCCATGGGCACAAATTCCCATAGACACCCTGCAAATTGGGATGCCTTCCCTGAACAGTGGAGCCAGCTCCATAAAGACATGGTTTGCCCAATTTGATGTGAAGGAACTTACCGTATTTGCCGGCGTATAAGACGACCCCCTACTTTTCCTGTTAAAATATAGGGTTTGAGCTATACTCGCCGTATAAGACTACCCCTCTTCCAACGCACACCAAATAAAAATGAAAAAACATCAGATTTGATTTCAATATGGTATTCCAATGATGGGGCACTATTCCTCCCACTGACACCAATGATGGGGCACTATTCCTCCCACTGACACCAATGATGGGGCACTATTCCTCCCACTGACACCAATGATGGGGCACTATTCCTCCCACTGACACCAATGATGGGGCACTATTCCTCCCACTGATACCAATGATGGGACACTATTCCTCCCACTGACACCAATGATGGGGCACTATTCCTCCCACTGACACCAATGATGGGGCACTATTCCCCCCACTGACACCAATGATGGGGCACTATTCCTCCCACTGACACCAATGATGGGGCACTATTCCCCCCACTGATACCAATGATGTGGCATGATTCCTCCCACTGATACTAATGATGAGGCACTACTCCTCCCACTGACACTAATGGTGCCCCATCAGTAGTGTCAGTGGGAGGAATCATGCCCCATCATTGGTATCAGTGGGGGGAATAGTGCCCCATCATTGGTGTCAGTGGGGGGAATAGTGCCCCATCATTGGTATCAGTGGGGGGAATAGTGCCCCATCATTGGTGTCAGTGGGAGGAATAGTGCCCCATCATTGGTGTCAGTGGGGGAGGAATAGTGCCCCATCGTTGGTGTCAGTGGGGAGAGGAATAGTACCCCATCGTTGGTGTCAGTGGGGGAGGAATAGTGCCCCATCGTTGGTGTCAGTGGGGGAGGAATAGTACCCCATCATTGGTGTCAGTGGGGGAGGAATAGTGCCCCATCATTGGTGTCAGTGGGGGAGGAATAGTGCCCCATCGTTGGTGTCAGTGGGGGGAGGAATAGTGCCCCATCATTGGTGTCAGTGGGGAGAATAGTGCCCCATCGTTAGTGTCAGTGGGGAGAGGAATAGTACCCCATTGTTGGTGTCAGTGGGGGAGGAATAGTGCCCCATCGTTGGTGTCAGTGGGGAGAGGAATAGTACCCCATTGTTGGTGTCAGTGGGGGAGGAATATTGCCCCATCATTGGTGTCAGTGGAGGAGGAATAGTGCCCCATCGTTGGTGTCAGGGGGGAGGAATAGTGCCCTGTCGTTGGTGTCAGTGGGGAGAATAGTGCCCCATCATTGGTATCAGTGGGAGGAATAGTGCCCCATCATTGGTGTCAGTGGGAGGAATAGTGCTCCATCGTTGGTGTCAGTGGGGAGAGGAATAGTGCCCCATCGTTGGTGTCAGTGGGGGAGGAATAGTGCTCCATCGTTGGTGTCAGTGGGGGGAGGAATAGTGCCCCATCATTGGTGTCAGTGGGGGAGGAATAGTGCCCCATCATTGGTGTCAGTGGGAGGAATAGTGCTCCATCGTTGGTGTCAGTGGGGAGAGGAATAGTGCCCCATCATTGGTGTCAGTGGGGGAGGAATAGTGCCCCATCATTGGTGTCAGTGGGGGAGGAATAGTGCCCCATCGTTGGTGTCAGTGGGGAGAGGAATAGTACCCCATCGTTGGTGTCAGTGTGGGAGGAATAGTGCCCCATCGTTGGTGTCAGTGGGGGAGGAATAGTGCCCCATCGTTGGTGTCAGTGGGGGGAGGAATAGTGCCCCATCGTTGGTGTCAGTGGGGGAGGAATAGTGCCCCATCGTTGGTGTCAGTGGGGAGAGGAATAGTACCCCATCGTTGGTGTCAGTGGGGGAGGAATAGTGCCCCATCGTTGGTGTCAGTGGGGGAGGAATAGTGCCCCATCATTGGTGTCAGTGGGGGAGGAATAGTGCCCCGTCATTGGTATCAGTGGGAGGAATAGTGTCCCATCATTGGTGTCAGTGGGAGAATAGTGTCCCATCATTGGTGTCAGTGGGAGGAATAGTGCCCCATCATTGGTATCAGTGGGGAGGAATAGTGCCCCATCATTGGTGTCAGTGGGAGGAATAGTGCCCCGTCATTGGTGTCAGTGGGAGGAATAGTGCCCCATCATTGGTGTCAGTGGGAGGAATAGTGTCCCATCATTGGTATCAGTGGGAGGAATAGT